AATTGGATCTTCGTTGTAGCAAATAACTAGTGTCCATGACACTGGAGCAATGTGGTAGTTCCATACATCGTGAAGTAGACGAAGCACATGACTTTGTTACCCTGAGCCGATTGTTAGTCATAACAATCAACAACCATATCATCACTTTCAAATTCACTGAATATTCCATCACTACTCTGGTGTTCACATAAAAAAATTATGTAATACAGCCCAAACAACTACTATGTTTGTAAAAAAATAAAAGTTTGGTGTAGAATGTGAACTTTTAAAAGCTCCCAAATAATGAGATTTGGCCCAAATACTAGTTTTTTCTATTATTTGGGAATTTGGGTTATTTGTCAAAAATATGTGCCAAATAATAGCAAATTATATGGACAAACACTATTTGCCAATTTTTTCCCCAAATTTTACTTGGGAAATCTATGGCCAAATGGGTCCTTAGAGAGCAAAATGATACTTAGATGCATTAATATACCAATGTACCAACATCAAATACCCTACCACTTCAATACACTATGTGAAACTCTGGACGTGCGACTTGGAAATAAATGTGCAAAACTAAAGCATAAATACAGCTCAATACACCAGTCTGGAACCATCTGTATAAATTCATCAACTATGATTAAATTTTGGGCCAAACCATAATAGCAACACCTTTAGATTAGCTGCTTTCACCACTTGTATGTGTTAAGGGTCATTAGATGATCTGACAAAGATCAACTGCCAATTGACTCAGCCAACCATGAGATTTTTAAGAAACCAAATTACTCTAGAGAAGATGTTAATCATACTTTTTTTGAAAAATAGGTAAGTGAAATGGACCTTCAACAATAACATACCCAATGTAATCCCACACATGGGGTCTTGGGAGGGTAAGATGTACACAGACCTTGCCCCAACCAATTGTTGGGTAGAGAGGTTGTTTAAAAATAATCTTTTTGCTTGATGACACAAGAAACTAGCACGGAGTGTTGAAAACTGAAAAGCATGAAACCTGATATTGATCAGTCCTAGTTCGCAATGTTGCGTGACTCAGATTAATTTTCTTTTTCCCCGAGCAGCCCCTTCTCTCCTCCTCCCACCAACACCAAAAAGAATGGGAAGCTATTATCCACAGTATAGTGCATCCTTCCTTCTTTTCCAACTTTCTCACAAGCTTCTATTTTCTCCTCAACTGCTGCTTCATTTTCCTTAACAGTCTTGTAGCTGCAATATACTGTCAGTAAGTGTGCAGCGGCTCTGCTATTAATGTACATATCCTGTAACAGCCTAGGGGAACTAGATACTATTACTTTTGCTGCTACTTCTCTCCCAGTCACCCTTAGGCTCTCCTAGCTAAGCTTTCTCTTCATTGCACACTCTTATTATGCACATTCCACTAGTAGTCTATAGAAACACGTACTAAGTTGTCTAGTCAGTTAAGACTTCAAGGAAACAATGATGTTCTTTTCTGTTTACTACAATTCATAAACATTAGAGGACGGGATGTGCAGCTTGAATCCAGAATTCAAGTCTTGGTAAAGACAACTCACCAGGTGGAACAGCCTTTATCTCCCTAGTTCAGGAGGTTATAGACATTATCCATTATTACATCAAGACAGTAGTGTTGGTTAGAAAAACATCCAATCACGGTACATTATTTTGGCTTCTTACTATGCTGAAAACAGATAGTGCTATTCTATATTCCTGGTGTTGAAACATGAGACAATGCCAAAACATTTCTCTTGAGGATAGTTAATTAACTAGCTGAAATCGACATAGAACTTTACTATGACTCTATTGAACAAGAAAAACTAAATTCAGAAACTTGAACGAATGGCAGATTCCACATATCTTGTTTAGTTAATGAAATAAAGTATATATAATGCATGTCCCTGGATTGATTGACAACAATATAGAAAGGGATTGACTGACCCCAGGAAGTGTCTGTTTATTGTGACAAGCAGTTATAGCCTTGTCCGCTTCTTCTCTGGAAGGGCAAATCAGAAAAGAGCACCCTGGAAACATACAAAGGGTTTGTTTAGAAATCCTTGAATCGCACATTGTAATCAAAGGCGAAAACTGAAGAGTGAACCTCGAGAAGCTCGAGTAGTCTTGTCTTTGATGATGTTGACTTGATCAATAACTGCGAACTCTTTGAACATATCCAGAAGCTGTTGTTCCGTCATTAGTTTCGGCACTTGACCTACGAACAGCTTCACGCTCTCCTCGCTGTACTCACGCGTCCTCTCCTCCTCCGCCATTAATGCCACCAATCTCTCTCTGAGACTGAGACTGAAACTGAACTGTGTGTTGTTCAATTAAGTCCTGTTTTTAGGAAATTAGAAAGTTTTTAGATGGCAAAAAAGGAATTTCATTCGTAGTTGGAGTTTACATAAATGACCTTGGTTTGGCAAGAAAGTTGGCTTCTGTGGACGACTTGCTTCCCTAATTATCTTTTGTTATACACTACAAAAGTAGATGTGTGCCTACGTTGACTCTCAATTGCTAACCAGATTTTATCTAAATTTGTATAATAATTTAGGTTTTTGTCCCTATTACAAGCGTACACCATGTTTGTTTATAATAAATCTATTCATTTCGAAATAATTTTACATACCTAAAGTTTTTTCTTACTTTTCCACACGTTTACGAAGAGAAAATGGCATTAACACCACTTCTCTCTCCCACAACATTCACCTTTATCAATTTCATAATTACGTCCACCGAAAAATCATCAGGAACCAGAATAAAAAAGAGGGGCGTTCCGAGAATCGAACTCGGGACCTCTCGCACCCAAAGCGAGAATCATACCACTAGACCAAACGCCCTCATTGCTTCTAAATTTGATTTAAGAAATCATAGATAAAGTATACTCGAATAACTATGCCATTGTTTTATCCACGTGTCAGTCCAGCTGAACCTGGATTCACACTTGTGTCTTTGTTGACCTAATTTGTTTTGAGGGTGTATTACAATGTGCCCTAATTTTATTTTCATGGTATATATATATTATTGGGTAGGGAACTTAATTAGCGTATGTGTTAACAAATCCACTAAATAATTAGTATAAATTTAAAATTCCCACTAAATTATATCTAGATGGAAAGAAGAGACGGAATTTGAATTTAATCCTTTAAGGTTAAAATCTTGAATTTGCTTGGTTGGTCGAATGAAGAAGAATATTACTTGTAGGTAGGATCATTGGTTGAAAGGGTATTCTCCCTTATTCTGAGAAGATAAAATAATTATGAAGAAGTGATATCAAAGTTAGATTCTGATTGAGTGGTCGAACTCGATCATTATCAGCTAGCTAGCTTTCTTAGATTCATAAATATATATATATATTGGAATTATAATCATCAAGATGCGTCAACGAATTGTTGAAAAAATAGTTTTCATCACCTCTTACACTGCCTCAAACTTTTATTAAAATGAAAAAAAACGTTTATAATGAGAACATGAGTTGGCACATGGCTTTCAGAATTAAGAAACAACTTGCAGTTGTAGTTGTTCGACTTTATACAGGAGGTTGAACAACATTATATTCCTTTAACTGCAACAACACCCATGAAAATAATTACTTATAATAATAATAAAGGCATGCATCAATTCTCTGTATTGAGTGTAGATCGATGTTGTTGTTTGGGCGTTGAACTAAATTAATTCAGTCTTACTATTATTATACTTGTCAGTTCTCTCTCAAAAAAGAAGATGCTGAGGATAATTAAGATCAAGGTTATATATATCCCTCCTCGCGTCGTCTCCATATATATATATATACCTTTTTTTTCTTTTATCAACAACTGCTTTATGTATTTATGATTTTCTTCTACTACGTATACTCTATTTGATCAAGTTTTATGGCACAGTCCATACAGCTAGTTTTTGTTTTCATTTCCCATTAATTAGTTCTCCTTCTGCAGCTCCACTCCACATCATTGCTTCTTCAAACCTCCAGTAACAAGTTTATCTTAGAAAGGTACTGTGTATTCATTTACTTAAATATTAATATAGTAGAGAGGAGTCCAATCCAACATTCTTTATGTCTGAGTATAGTGGACACTGACCATCGATCAATGTCCGAGGCGTAATGGCAGGGATCAAACACACCACGAGCGGTTGCATTTTGTGCACGGGCAGCGTTACTGGGAGGACTAGCATGCACAACCTACTTATTAAACTACCAAATCATGGAATGATCAAGTCCATGACAGGGCAACTGTGCAAGAATGGAATAAGAATCATGAAAGACTACTTCCCTGGAGTGGAACCTTGCTAAACTGCGAGTGAGCTCAAAGGAGCATACTGTGAACCGCCAATGCTGCTCTTTTCTTGCCTAGTACGTACGTACTGAAGATGCCAATAGTATATATATTAGTGGCCAAAATCTGCTGCCAATTTCAGTTTAAACTTTTCCCATCAAGTACAAGTTAAGAATGAATTTCATTCTTTCTAAAATTGTTCTTTCAAATGCATAACATATATCAGAGTGCACAAAAAGGGATTGATTCATGATATATATTAACTATCAAGGGGAAAGGGAACTGTATGAATCATGTCATGTTCCAATAAGAGGCTAATTGTCCAATTTTGCTGTAATCAAATTGTGGTGTGCATTTGTATGTCTTATTTTTATGATCTAAAAATGGACAGCTAGCACTGGTGCCAGATAACAAGTATATATCTCAAAAGAATGCTCAACTGTTCCAGGCTAGGCAAATTTTTGTTACTGCTTATAAACCACCTTTCTGGAATAAAGACATGTTTCCTGACATAATTTCCTTCCTATTATTACAATCAGAATTTTTTCACATTATGTAATCTAATATACTAGCTGATCTTCAGGAAGAAAAAGTAAACTACTTTTACGGTATTTGATATATCCTTCGTCCCATGTAAATCAATTTGGCATTTGGAAGCATCAATATGAATAAGAAGAATTTCAGAAACCTCTTCTATTGAGTTGGCAAATATGATCCTGGTTTTAGCTAGCACTGCCTGATTTCAGAAACTATATCTTTCTTCTAAAAGAATCAAAATTGCTCATACACAATCCTCCGCATAAAATCTACTGGTGCTGCAGAAAAACACAAGTAGAAAGAGTTAACACCATTGCTTTCTAAGAGCACGATACTTTAAGACATGAGTAGGTTTTGCTCCTGGCTGCTTAATTTATAGTTCCTCATTTCCAGGAGTTATGTTTTTTTCCGTCCTATTCTTTGGTGATAAAAAGCTATCAGATTACATGAAGTCTTCCGCAGGGAATTAAAGCATACTAATTGGGAGTAAGAAGCCCTTATGGAAGAGATTAAGAATCACCAAAGTTAAGCATAGCTAAATTTTGCCCCACTGCTTACTGCATAATAGAACTTTAGTTATGTTCACTGCTGCCCCCAGCCCAGGATCAATGGGGCAAAGGAGACAGAAGGTTCTACGACAACAACAACATACCCAGTGCATGCACAAAGTGGGGTCTGGGGAGGATAGAGGGTACGCAGACCTTACTCAGCTCAAGGGGAAAAATAATTAACAGTCCAAAGCAGTACAAAAAAATAAACAACGAACAGAAGGTTCTTAGAATTTTTATGTAAAAAATTATAGGGAGGAGAGAAAAGCTACCTAATCCATTGGTGAACAATTTAAACTGCCCAAGTGCCTGCCTGACAAACATCTCAACCCCACTCACCACTGTAGCTCCAACCTCTGTAGCCTCCTGCAATAACCGTGTATTTCTAGGTGTGTAAACTGCATCAAATACTAGTTCGTATGATCTCAAGGCCTCCTGAAACAATAGCAAAATTGCGGAAAAGTTCAGAATGTTTGCATTTTCTCATGCAAACAGAGAACAGGTTGCTTTTGTCAAAGACTATGCAAGAAAGACAACCTTGGAGATAGGAGTTTGATCAGACTTTGGCTGCATGCCCACAGCAGAAGCATTTGCAAGAATCATTCCCTTCTCAGGGCAGAAATCGTTCAGATGTTCATATGGCAAAGCTTCACAGGATACTGCTGCAGCCAGAGCTTTTGCTCTCTCTTTTCAAAGACAAAATTGCAATAAATGGAAGGAGACATATAATGAATAAAGAGCAAAAGATCACATATCCATAATCCTTAGGGAGATAGGAGGTATTACCATATTTGCGGTTGAATATTACAACCCTTGCCCCTCTGCTTTTGGCACCAAAAGCAATAGCTCGCCCTGCACCACCTGCCCCAACTAATACGAACAATTTTCCAGCAATTGGAGAAACATTTGATGCACGGCCATTGGTCTTTTGTCTCTCTGTTTACACACAAAATTTAACTCCTCGTGTAATTTGGATTGAAATGTTTTACGAAGAAGGTTTCAACCTTTTCTTATGGGAGGGTACATACCAAGGAGGTGTGGGGGGGGGGGGGGGAGACTAAGATATTGAAAACAGTGACGGTAGTATTCTTGTTATCAAATATGTAATCCAATTGAAGCCAGTAACTAAGCAAGACTATCTCTACCTTCTCCTGCAGACACACTAAATTATGCTTTATCAGGTGGGTAGGGGGGGATGGAGAGGAGAGACCAGGCCCATTTTTAACAATCAGCATTGTCTCAAGTAAAAGTTAAAGATATGTAATTATCAGAATTCTGGGAAAAAATGGCCTTGAAAAGAATTACATAATAGACCACTAAACTACATTGATTAAGATTTTCACTTGTACCTTTCTAGTAAGAGTATTAGAAAAGTTTTAACTTCCAAACGAAGAATAATCAGTACCTCTAAGTGCATCTTCAATTGCTGTCACACAAGCCTCACAATCTGTATTATAACCAATGAGCTTGCCGTCAGAAGGCCTCCTTATAATTGTGTTTACAGCTCCTATAGACTGATTCCGAAGCATGATACAGTTAGAAAGTTTAAAAACAAGACAACAAACACTGTAATATAATTTAGCCACAAAATGTTCTGGAATGGTTAAACAAAAAGAACTATTATGGCATCTGAACTTTCAAGATACAGAGCTAATCTATATAACAAATTCTGCTTCCATGCAAGGACAATAGCATTCTAGTCCATGTGAACTGCAATCACATAAGAAAGAATAGTCATGTTGAGAATATATGAGAAACACAACTTGTTTTCTTTTTTTTTCTTTTAATAAGTTGATGCTGCTAGACCTATTTATTACCCAACCAAGGTAATATCTCTTCAACATTGAACCGTGGTGGACTAAGGCTAATTATTCATTAGTCGATTTATGGAAAATAAAACTGATAATATTGTGCCTAATATTCTAGCTAGGGTGATTCAAGCACATAAAGAAGGTAAGCTTTCGTTTCCTATGTGTATATGCAGGCGGCCTCTGTACACATATATAAACAAAGTTGTCATTATATAATAAGAAGTATTGATGCTGAACTAGCTTCAGCAAAGACGACATTCCGAAAAGTTTGTGCCTTTTCGGGTTCTTTTAACTCCCAAAACCCGAAGGTAAGTTACACAACATATGCACTCTATCAAACATGGAGCTAATCAAACCTTAGCAAGTGGATCAACTTCATCACAGCAGCGTACTGCTGCTTCCTTATGTGGGATACCAACACTACAGGTTCCATCAAAAGGAAGAAGATTCTGCGTTAGATAGTTTTCTACATGAAGCAAATATATAATTTTAGAAAAACAAAACTTAGTGCAGAAGGAGGTAGCGTACCTGAAACCAGCATAGTCATTACATGAGAAAACGCGAAAAAATTCCTTGACATTGTCAACTAGTAGTGGGACATATATTCCATTGTATCCTGTATGCCTAAAGGCAGGGTTGTGCAGAAGGGGGCCCTTGCTATGGCCAACAGGATTTGAGATTACACCAAAAACTCTAGTATCTGGGTTGACATATTGGAGTTTATAAACCTGTTTAATGCTGGTCAAAGGAGGCAAGCCAGGGGTGGATTTGCCTGCCAAAGATCCACAAACAAAGAAAGCACCGTATTTTGGACCCAATAGTTGGCTTATAAGACCTCTATCCCCTGCTGCCCTAGCAATTAGAGGGAGCTGAGAATGTGTAAGCATATGGAAAACTGGTGCAACATCTGTAATATAAGCTACATCAATGACAAGTTTGATGATATCTGCTCCTGTGGACTGCAGGTTTATGATGGAATTACAAAGTGTGTCTTTAGTAGGAGGGTTTCCAGCATTAATGACATAAGTAGAAGCAATTATCTTGCTATTTGATCGGCTGCTCATCAATTCAGCAACCACTTGATGGCAAACAACCTAAACAAACAAACAAACAACAACGGATCGTATGGATGGATATAATTATTTTAGCAGCAGCTTAATTTAATTAGTTAAATAAATGATGACCTCAGTGTCGACTTCGACGAACTCAACGTCCAACTCAACAGCTAATTTGAGAACTTGGATACATGTTTTCTTCCAGTCAGAATTTATCTCAGATTTTGGCCTGACATACATATATATATATAACAGTTTCAAGCTTTTTAGACAAAGTTAGTTGGTGCATGCATGTTTACTGAATTAATATTTGTCGATAGACATGGATATTACTAATTAAAATGAATACTCTAGTCATAATTAATAACATATCTTCCCTAGATTAGATCATACATACATACGTTCTGAACTTTTCTCTCTCTCCACGAGCACTCTATGGTTCACCTACCCGGCCCACCACCTCAGTCGTTTTCACGTGCCTTGATATTAATTATTTTGTGAGGAAATTAAGAATCAAACAAAAAAGGCAAGTACTGACTCACTCTCCTCCTCACATCTATCTATCTTAGCTAAACCCACCCACCATTTCTGGATCGAACACACACAAGATAAGTACATAATCACTAATATAATTCCTGTATTAATTACCTACGTACCTGAAAGAAACGATGGATGGTAAACTTCTTTGTTTGAGTAGTAGTTCAAGTTGTGAAATGTGAGAGAAAGTGAAGTCATCAATGCAAAGCTCCACCAGATCTGCTCCTTCTTCTTTAGCTTTGTGCATAGAAACTGCCATTTCCTCACAGCTTTCACACTCTAGTCTTGTGTACACCACCAAGTCATTCTTCAAACCCATAATAATGTTCCCAGAGCTACGACTCTCTTATTCTTATTAGAGCATACATATATATATAGACTTAACTTATCAACGCCCATTAAAGTTGTCCGCACCTCAACTAGGACTATTACAAACACTTTAATATTAAGAAATATGTATCTATTGAACATAAAACGAAAACTTTTTTAAAAAATGTTCTCCGTCTGTGTAATTCACGTTTATTGTCATAAAACAATGACAAATAAAATTACAACACATGGCACAAGGGGCCAGTTTAGCAATAAAATATAAATTTTCAATTTTAAAAAATGAAAAATATTTTCCAGCTTTTATTTATTAATCACAAAAAAGATTAAAAAAGAAAATCTCCCTCCACCCCCACCTAACCTTTTGACCTTTCTTCTTCCTTCTACCCGGTGAACCCCGCCAACCACCATCAATTTCTCCATTGATAACCAACATAACAAAATCATTCTCCTATCATTCGTAATTCTCTATTCATTTTGAGATTTTTGTGAAAATAAATGGACGTCAATAAATTATTTTGAAATTCACGACGAAGAGAAATCGAAAGTATGTTGAATTTTTTAATATCATCTTTAATAAGTTTAATGAGTGGTGATGTTTGTTAAATCGGAGTGATCGAAATAGAGATGGACGAATATCGATCAATTTTAAACTCCAATGTTCAAAAAAAAAATCTTCTCGCATACTAAATTAGCAGATTTGGATTTCTTTACAAAAAATGAAGAAAAAAAAAGAACGAAACAAAAGGCTAAAAATTTAAAAGCATGGGTATGGGTGTGGGGTGGGGTGGGGTTGTTATGAAGAGATTAATGTGAAACTAATATTATTTTTTTAATTATTTAGTTAATGCATGTCCACTGTTAAAAAATAGGTACCAATTTATCAAAAAGTAAATAAAAAATAAAATTAGACTCTATTCACGCGCTAAGTAGCAGTGATATACGTATACACTTATTTTGCCACATTAGCATTTTGTGTTTAATAGACACATATTTTGAAGAATTTAGGTGTTCAATAGGTATAAGTCTTAATTAAGGTGTCTAAGTGAATTACGCGAATAACTTTAAGGGATTGCCGTTGACTTAAGTCTTATATATATATATATATATAAGACTTAAGACAATACATGTACATGTGCGCTTATCAAATACTCGTTCCACACCGCTAGCTCCCTCATAAATTTCATATATGACATCTATTATAGTACTATTTTCAAGCTATAGCAGTAGATCTAGACTTTCAAGTTATAGCATTAAAAATTCCAGGTTATAACAAATTTACAAAAAAAAATAAAAATGTTTTTATTAATTGGAAAAAACTTAAAAATAAAATAAAAAGATAAACGAAAATTAAAAAAAAAAAACGGAATTAGAAATAATAAAGTAAAAAACTGAAATTGTTGCCTGTAATTTAATTTGAAGTTATTGTAGATAATTAATGATTAACATGAAATAAGGGATCCAAACAAATTAACCATATTTTTTATCTTTAATTCACTCAAAGCAGTTAAAATAAAATAAAAAATCAGATCATATCCTTTTTTTCTTCAACATTTCTCTCTCTTAATTCTTCAGCCTAAAAAATTACCATAATCGAGTAATTGAAGGTTTTTTTCATTAAAAAAAATTGATTTTATTGAGATGGACAATTACGTATCAATTCTAATTAAACATGGTGGAAGATGGGATCATTCGGGTTAATATTTATTATTGTTTAGTATTTTTTTTAAATTACATTGAAATGAATTGTCTCTATGTTTAAGATGATATCATTACTTGTTAACTGTTGTGAAATGTATAATATTAGTGATTTTCTGAATTTGTGATTGTTTTGTGTATTTTTTTTAAAAAAATTATAAAGTAATTGTATATTTATGAATAAATTTAATAGAATTATTGGAAAGAAATTTGTAAGAAAATGTGTTTCGTATGATGTAAAAAAAGTTATTTGGATTTTTGACGAATTGTATAGCAAGTGTTTTAAGTTGGTATTAAATTATAAATTTTAGTGTGTTATATTAGATGTTGTCATTTATGAAGTAATTAGTGAGGTAGAAATGAATTATTTGGTACGATAAGATATAGATGTTTGTAATGTATGATTATTTGCTGTATGAAATGTGTATTAAGTGAGTTTGAAAGTTGTTATGAAATAAGTTGTCTTAATGATATATGTATGAAATGTATATTAAGAAAGTATGAAATTTGTATGAAAGCGTGTCCAGTAATTTGAAAAAAAAGTTATTTGAAATTTTGACGAATTGTATTATAAGTGTTTTAAGGTTGTATTAATTTTGAAATTTTATTGTTGACATTTTTGTATAAATTTGTGTGACATTAGTGAAGTATTTTCGTAAAAAAAATGTACATATTTGCTGTATGAAATTTGTATTAAAATAGTATGAACGTTACTATTTGAATGATATTTGTATGAAATGTTTTTTGATTGTATATAAAATTTGTTTTGTAATGTTCTGTCTGTCTGAATGATATTTGTATTTCAAATTGTTTGTTTATAATGTGAGACTAATTTATATTTTTTTTAATGAAATAGGGAATTATGTCGATTTTCAAATGGAGGGGGGTTATATAAGATTCTTCTAGTCTTTATAGTGGTCTAGTAAGTGCGATAACATCGCAGCTTATGATAGAGACTAATATAAATGATTTAGAGATAAAATATTTAGTAAATGATAGATGTCCACCTGTTAGAATCCACAATGATGTTGGTGTGCGGGTTTTTTTAAATCAAAAGAAAGTTAATTTAGATTTCTTTACTAAATATCCATTGTGCATAACTTTGAAGAATATAGCAATGGATAATGTAATTGAGATTTCAATTAAACATGTAATTGAGATTTCAACTGAAATAACCAGCGTAAAATTAGTTAATATTGTATCCAATTTGTATAAATTTAGTATTGAATTGATATCCCATTGGAAAATTGAAAAATCAACAAGTGGTTGAGATATCAATCAAATTAGACAACCTAAACAAGTTAATGTTGCATTCAATTGGTATCCAACAGATATCCCACTTGAAAATGAAAAAAAACAAAATATAACTGATATTTCAACCAAATTAGACAATCTAAAACAAGTTAATGTTTTATCCAATTTATATACACTTGGTATCCAACTTGAAATATTAGAACAAAGACAAAAAATAAAAATGTATAAAATTAGTATCCAACGGGTATAAATCCGGGAAGAATAAATTTGGTTGTAAAACAATGCATATTATATATTGTTGTCAGAAATTGTAGCAAAAAAAATATACATCACCCAAAAATCAAAACATGTAATTAAAAGTCTAAACTGCAATAATTAATACAAGTTTTATATTTTCCTCTCTCTTCAATTTATATTCCGTATTCAAGTGTGATTTTTTTTTTATCATATTTAAGCTAAAACTTAAGAAATCCTTATTAAAGATTTTATGATCTCATATTATCTACATATATCAACAAATTTCAGAATTAAATATACTTATTTCACCAACAAAACAATATTTTAGATATAGAAAAACACACCAAAAACAAGTTCAAAACTTAAGTAAAACGATTTTTTTCCCAAGAAATCAAGTTTTAGATTAATTAAAATAAAAAACGAAATCAAATTTTCAAAATATAGAATTCTTAATTCTAAAAAAATCAGATTAAAAAAAAAACAATATCAAAATTTAAAATAAAAAAAATATCAAGAAAAGCAAAAAAAATAGATTAAAGAGAGAGAAAATTACATGTTAAAATATACGGTCATAAATTTATTTTTTTTAAATAATTAAAGGCCCCAATAGTCATTAATAAATAAAAGTTATTTGAATAAGTTAAAAAATCCCTTAAAAGGTGTAATAGATAATTACAAATTGATTCTCTCTCATTAATATTATTTCTCTCACCTATTAATTATATAAAAGGAACTGCAATCAATATAATTAAATAAGTAATAATATAAAAATATAAAAAGATTAATTATTTAATAAAGTAAATTTTAATTGATTTTTAAATAAAGTTAAATTTAATTGATATGTTATAACCCGTAATTAAACTGTTATAAGTAAGAATTTTTTAAGAGTAGGTTTAAAACTCGTAATATTGTCTCTTAAATGTGTATATGATGTGATTTTTCCTATTCATATACTAGAGGAAATGGCCCTGTCACACGGGCCCAATGTTATAAAAAAATTGAAATTGTTAATATATATCTTTGTTAAAACAATAAATATCAAGAAAAATATATATATTTATTTATTTTTCAAATAAAAATGAAGAACTGTTAATATCCTAACTAAAATCTAAACTCTTAATTATTTAAGGAAAATATAGCAAGAGTAAGATATTTTTCAACCTTATCATGGTAAAAGTTGAATTTATTATCCTTTTCATTTAATTTAATATGATATTATTTTTTTATATAAAATCATTATATATGTTTTAATAATTTAAATTTAAATTTCAAAAAATTATCATTTAACTTTAAAGATTTTATTTTATCAAAATCTTGTACATTGAAACATATACTATGAACCCGACTTAATAAATGTCTCTTTGAATTTCGTTTTACTTGGTCCATATTGACTTGACATAACTCATAAGAAAATATTTATTAGAAATTTATTTATTATATATTATTTTTATTAATTATTCATTGAAAGTTAAATTTGACTATTAGTATTAATATAGTTACTTAATCATAAAGTCAAAATTAAGAAAATAATAATATATTTCTCTTAATTTGGTAAAATAAAAATAAAATTTGGTATAAGAACAAAATTAAAAATATATCATATTTATTTAATTTTAATTAATATAAATTATCATTTTTAAATGATCTAATTATATTAAATTTAAGGAATACTAAATTTAACAGTGATAATAATCTGAGTTTTCAAATGAAAGATATAATGATGAAATTATTTACTTTTTATGTGATTCAAATGAGAAATTATATGAAAGACATTAGAATAACTATTATCATTAGAACAAAAAAAAA